TAAGATTGTCACTAAAGGGAACTAAGAATATTACTTAAATTATAGTTAAGTGAATCGATATGCAGTAATTATGTTCTTCAGGGATTTGACAGGTTACCGGTATAGGAAATATTTTTCAGAGTTTATTTAAGCAGAAAATAGTGATCTGAAGACTCTCGTCTCACGATGGTTATTGACGCTAATCATAATTCTAAGGGCCAAATGTACGCTTTCGTGTCCCATTCGGGGTTAAAACTATTTTTTGGAAATCTCTAAGTTCTAATTCATTTTAAAGTGCTTTCGCTGTTATTAAAACGAATGACTAGTGTTTACTATCTGGTCTTGCCGCAACTTTCGCTTGTTGGTTCGTACCTTAATTAATTTCCCACTTTCGTGGCAAAACTACTTTTAAATAAGTTCTCGCTTTCGCGTCGAAGTTTATTCAGTAAATTAATTTAAACACTCAGACCATAAACAACTTTTGAAAAAGGAAGTTTTCAACCGGTTATTATCAAATCCCTTCCGAATTATTATTACGTATTGATTACTTTAATTTAGCCAGACATGGATTTGGGAAAGGTAAAACATAAATAAAAACAATAAATAATAACGTGCATCATAATGAAAACGAAAATTACGATTAAAATTAGAAACCTGTAAATATTCCAATTGACCTTTGGGCAGATCCTCCACAAATGTTGGCAGGATTCTGGTCTTTGTGCCAATTGATCGTACAAGGGAAATAAGAATTACAGAAGAAATGAAAGGCAACAAAAAAATAGAAAGAAAATAAAACTGAACTTTTGCTCTGGAAATGAAATTGGGCAGCACTTCGTTGTCTGAATGCGGCTCCCTTTCTCAGCTCCCTTCCTTCCCCTTTTATAGAAATGGAATTCTAACGGTTATAACTTGAAGAAGGTGGACTTTGAGGCAGAAATATCAGGGAGTAGTGGTCCACTATTTGGGACTTGAAACTGCTTCTTGCACGTGCATTTGAAGTTGGGCGTTTTTGCCTGCATGACGGTCGTCACGGTGTGTGACGGTCGTCATGGGGCTGTGACGGTCGTCACAGCAGCAAAATATGCATTCTGCGTTTTTCATGTTGTTTTCATCCGGTTTTCGTCCATATTTCATCTGTGATTGCTTCTTTTCTTCATATTGCTTTGTTTAGACGTGATTATCAAATACCTGCAAAACATCAGACAAATAACACGGAAATAACCCGAAATCGGATCGAAAACAGTTAAACATCAGTTGAATTATGCATCAATATATATATATATATATATATATATATACGATTTTGTGTTATCAATAAGTCACCTCGTGTTCAATCCAAAGCTCTTCACAAAATTATTTAAACTCATTTGAGTTGAGTTCTCCTTCACATCACTTATGAATATCTTCAAATGTTGTCCATTTTGTTTTTCAACTTTCACCTTAAACTTCTTAAATTCACCAAACACTTCATGCTTGAATTTAATGATTACCACCCATATCATCCTTGTGAATTCATCCAAAAATTCTATAAAGTACTTATTTACACCGAATGAAGGTACCTCAAAAGGTCCACACACATCAGAATGTACCAATCTCAAGCCATCAGTAGCTCTAGGAGGCAGTTCAGATAAGAATGGCAACCTTTATTGCTTGCCTTTCATGCACACATCACATGATTTCTCCAGTGTCACGGTTCTAGGAATTCCTTGCACTAGATTCTTGGAGATCAAATGACCCAAACTCTTAAAGTTCAGATGCCCAAGTCTCTTATGCCGCATTTCACTTTCTTTCTCCATGTCTTTTACACTGATAAACTGCATCTCTGTTGCTTCAAGATTCACCTTGAAAGTTCTATTCTTCTTCAATGTAAACTGCATAATCAACCTTTTCTCACAGTCATATAACTTCATCATGTTGTCTTCTATGGCCATTGAATATCCTTTCTCTAGCAAGTGACCTACACTCATCAGGTTGCTTTTCATGCCAGGCACATATGACACATCTTCAATCATGACAATTATACCATCCTTCACCAGAACATTTCCCATTCCTTGAGTAGTTAAGTATTTGTTATCATCACAAATGATTTTGGTTCCTTTGCTGGAATTAAAGTTGATCAGCCACTGTTTGTTCCCTATTTTATGATTAGAGCAACTTGTGTCCATATACCACCAATATGTTACTACTCCACCATTATATGTAGTCACCATCAATAACACAGGTTCCTCCTCATAATCACCTTAAGTTATATTAACTTCCTCATTCTTATTCTCCGCATTGGACCAACATTCAACAACAAAGTGGTCAAACCTATTACAATTGTAGCATTGAATTTTTCTTTTATCAAATTTCTCCTATCCTTTATTATAACTCTTATATTTCTTTCCGCTTTAATTGGAGAATTCTGCCCTTTCAGCACTATTATCTCCATTTTTCTTATTCTTGTTTTCTAGCCATGTTTGTTTCTTATTCTTCCATTTATCATTCTTCCAAATAAACTTATCATTAATCTTTTTCTTAACGATTTGAGCCTTAAAAAACTTGTTCTATTTTATCTGTCAGAGTTTCTCTCAGTCAATCATAATTCATGTGCCTCTAAGCTACTTTGTGATTCTTCAATTCTTATAGTGCTAGTGTCTTTCGAATGTTCTATCACCATAATTATGTAATCAAACTAAGGAGTAAGTGGTCTTAGTACCTTTTCCACAATCGTTTTTCCTGAGAGCATTTCACCACAAGTTTTCATCTCATTCATCACTGCAATCACTCGAGATGTAATCACTCACCTTCTCATTATGCTTCATGCTCTGGTTTTCGTATTGTTCGCGCATGGACTCCAATGTCACCTTACTTATCGATGTATCACCACCATAACATTGTACAAGTGTGTCCCACGCCGCCTTCACCGTCGTCGAATCGACAATCTTCTCAAACACCTTTGTGCTTATACACTGATGAATTTAGAATAATGATTTTCAATGCTTCTTCCTCGTCTCGTGTTGTTCATTTCTTAAAGCTTCAATTGCCTCTTTAGCCACCGGTGTAACCGCCGTTGACAAGCTCAAGCACATCTTGAGCACCAGACAGTACATGCATTTGGATCAACCATCGGTTCCACTTCTTCCCATCAAACACTGACAGCTTCATGTTCAAACTATCCTTTCCTCCGCTCATGTTTGTTCTGTGTGCAAATCACTCAGTTTTCACCAATGCTCGTGTATACCCTACCCTGAGAATAAAAAATTGTGATTAATTTCGCACTTCAATTCAGTGTGAGTCATAGAAACAAAATCACACACACTCCTCTCGCACACTCGTGTTTCTCTAGATCAGAATCGAAGCTCTGGATACCAATTTGTTGGATTTAATTTGTGAAACTCCATTGATGCACACAATTTAGAGAGAGAGAGAGAAGTTATTCAAATAAAATGAAATTTCACACCTATATTAATTTTCTAAGTGAATTACAAGTGTTGGTTCCTTAACAATAATAATTAACATAATAATTTTAAGTAAACTAGAAAAGGAGAGTATGAAAACCAGTGAATGAGTGTACGAAGATTTGGTGATGAAGAAGTTATATTGCATATTAGTTGCATTTATGCGACACAAGGAAACAGGTGAGTGAGTAGCTTACCCATACACAACACTCATTTATATTTGTTTTAAAGTAGCAATTTGTAGGAATTGTAAGGCACGAGATCATTTACATATGTGTGCAATAACAACACAATACATTGATTCAATTATGAAAATAAATAAATATAATCAATAAAAAAATTATCGTTTTGATTTTATCTAATTATATATGTTAAGAGTTTAATGGCTATCCATTGACACTATTTATAATAGTTTTATATTAAATTTTTTAATTATTTTACATCAATAACTTAAAAATACAGTTTAATTTGTCAGAATACACGACGGTGATTGATTAACAACAAAGTTATTTCAATTTTTTAAAATTTTCAGTCATTTCACATCAATAACTTAAAAATTACAGTTTAATTTGTCAGAATACACGACGGTGATTAATTAACAGCAAAGCCGTTTCAATTTTTTCGAGACAATACTTTAATCATTGAAAAACAAATAGAGGTTTTATCTAACCATTGTATAATTAATGTAAATATTTCAGTGTGATCCAATTTAGTCACGGGTCAAATTTGACAAAATTGAGATCATATGCGGTAGTCCGCCTTACACACCTTTAAAGACAATTCTATTTAACAATTTATATTTTATTTTATCATATGTTAAATGCATTTTTATTGTCAAAAATATAAAATAAAACATATTTTTTTATAATATTAATTAACAAGTACAATTGAAAAAAACTTAATGCATGCAACGTTTAAAACAAGATTGATATTTTTAGAACAAATTTTCTAAGACAATTATTATGGGACATATTTAGTTGATCATAATAATGCTTATTTCATTCCATTGGAATGTGACACATTACTACTTAAAGCATGTTAATCTCCCAGTTGCTAGTTCTATAGTGTAAGTGGCATTGCCATAAACGGAGAGTTGATGATGTAATAGCTTTTTATTCATTTATATTCTTTACCAAACACATTAATTACTACCCTACGTTGACACTTTATATCCAATAAATGAGAAATTTAAACACCGAAAGTTTCACCAAAAAATTTAATCTATGGGAGCAAATGAGTTATGCTTCCATGCAAGATAGTGAGCAAATGTTTCAAATTAAGCTGCAGGGTAAAACTATGACATTATTGCTGGTAATAATTAAGGTAGAAATGAGTCCGGTGAAAAGCATGCACATATTAAAATTTTCAGCTTTTACTAATAAACTTGTAGATCATGAAATATCCCTTACATTACACTATAAAGAACAACACATCATAACAAAACAAACTAGTACTTGTACTGGCTAACACTCTTTCTGTAAGTGAAAAATATAATCTTAATAAAACACTAAAATTAAACAATTTCGATAACAATTAACCCAATATAATTAACTTTCATTTTCTTAAGAATATAACTTGCACTCAAGGATGAGGAAACACACCACCCCCAGAAACTTTATGTTTACCACCGTGGTGTCCACCGATTCCGCCACCACCAAGTCCGCTGAATCCTTCCAGTCCATGAGAACCACCATGTCCACCACCGTGATGTCCACCGAGTTCACCACCACCAAGTCCGCTCTGTGCATGAGAACCTCCAAGTCCACCCAGTCCACCAACCCCTAACCCGCTGAAGGCTCCAAGTCCATGAGAACCACCGAGTCCACCGAGTCCACCACCACCAAATCCAGCACCTCCTATTCCACCGAGGCCACCAGCAGCACCACCGAGTCCACCACCTCCTATTCCAGCAGCACCACCGAGTCCACCACCTCCTATTCCACCAAGTCCACCACCTCCTATTCCACCGAGACCACCAGCAGCACCACCGAGTCCACCACCTCCTATTCCACCGAGGCCACCAGCAGCACCACCGAGTCCACCGCCACCTAGTCCGCCAAGTCCGCCACCACCAGCGTCACCACCAGCGCCAAAGCCTACACCTCCAAAAGGAAAACCATTGTTACCAATTCCTGAAAAACCACCAATCCCACCAATGAAGTTCTTCTCATCCTTCAAACCTCCTTTTCCAGCAGCAGGCACATTTCTTGCACTTGTTGTAACTACAGCAGGCACATTTCTCGCACTTGTTGCAACTACAGCAAGAGCCAAAACTACCAAAATGCACCACTTACCCATTTCTCTCTTCAACTTTTCCTCTCACTCAAAAGTATACTATAACAACCAACATGATTCTCCTTTTATATAGGAGAAGATGGAGTTGGGTGGTTGAATAAACAGTAAATGAACTTCAATGCTATGGCAGCGCATTTTAGCTGGCAAATAACCAGCACATCGTACCAAATATTACTGATGCCTGCAAAGTGTACCTACAAACGTTTTGTTTTAACATACAGTTAGATTTAACAGTAATCGAAGTTACAGTTAAACTGTTGTCAATACCTAATACATTAGTTACCATCGAGACAACCTTGGCCCATACTAATAAACTTATCAAAACTACAGCTGAACTGGCGGTGCCAATACTCGTGATTTCTCGTTGTTACTTTAAGACCTAAAAACAAAAGCACATGTCTCTGTTGGACATAACCAAGAGGTCATGCATTCAAGCTACCATAGCCCAGACACTTTAATATTTCCAATCATAATTCAAAGTTACGATAGTTTAGCAAAAGACTTCAATATTTTTGGTAAAAAGAGCAATGCCTATCATTTAAGCTGAAAAACTTTGCATTAAGGGGAAAATCTAGACATGGCATGGCATGTGCACCCTAAAATGTAATACATATTAAAATGCACATGCTGTGAGGAAATTAAAATACACTAACACCATAGGGCATGGTTTATGCATTATGGGGTTATTGTTACTGATAACAAAGCAGCAAGAGATGGCAACAACAACATTAAAGTTTTCAAATATCATTATAATTTGAGATAATGCATAAAATCAAATAAAATCAAACTTTAAAAAGTGTTTAGAGTCTCACATTGATTAGACATATATTTATAAATAAGAGAAATCTTCATCTTACAAATAGGTGTTATAAGGTTGAATTAGACTAAACCACGTTTCTTAACATGCTATCTGAATCCATTATCGAGAATGTGTTAAAAGTTTCATATTAAACGTGTGCTATTAAATTTTTGCTATTGAATCAAGTTTTTTTTATAAGCAATAATATATTTAATATATTCAAAACGGTATACAAGGAGTATATCAATCCAACTACAATGATCAAAAACCAAAACTAATAACAATCAAAACACTACTATTATAAAAAAATCAGTAGGAGATTTATATCATTCGTAATAATTACATTTAACTTTTGATTGATACCAAAACTCTAGCCACCACCAAGAAGTATGAATCACCCTAAGTGCAATATCTTCTTGATTTTCAATCAAATCGTTAAATATCACCTGATTACGGGTCCACCAAATTGTCCAGCAAATCGTAATCCATATAAAACATGTTGCTACCTTGGAAGTTCTCCTCACTAATTTCAGGAACTATTCTAACAAATGATCACATACATTAATTATCACCTTCGATCCATGCTATCCTCACCCAATCTGCTATCTTCCTCCACACACGACAAATGCAAGGACACAAACAGAAGAGGTGATTATTATCCTCAATAGCATTTAAGCAGAACACACATACAATGTCATGTGGACTAGAGATTATTTCTCAGGCCGCCAGATTCGATTTTGTTGGAAGTCTATCCAACACCATTTTCCAACCAAAGATTCTAGCTTTGAGAAGGACTTAGTCTTCCACAACACATCTAATGCAGTCTTGGGAATAATCTCAATAACATGCAATCCAACATTTAACATCAATACCTTGTAACATGACTTGACAGTCAAGTGAACTCATTATGATAACCACCTTTCTAAACAAAATTGTCAGTTACACCCAAAAAAATTTTGGCATCAAGAAGCAACTCTAAGAAGACTCTAAAATCAACAAGTAGGTCACCAACAAGATCTTGCTCACTATAGCCTAAGTTCCACGCTCACGCTCCTTCGACCCATTTTCCCATTTCACATACAGAAGCCCACTTCAAAGCAAATATTTCATAAAGATCCTGGAATACACTGAAGGTGAGAAAAGTACACAAGAAGGGGGTTGAATTGTGTTTTCTGTTTTCTTAGTTTGAATCAGATCATATTTAAGAATCTAAACTTGTGTTTAGATTTTGATTAATTCTTAGTAACGAAACGTTAACAGCAGCAAATAAATAATAGCAGAAGACACAAAGATTTATATTGATTCCTCCCAAACTGAGAGTAGTCCAATTCCCTTGTACATTCTGCATTATACTATAATCAAATGATGATTACAACCACTTATACATTCTACATAAGACTTTTACAATTGCTCAGACCCAAGGTCCAAGACTTCTGCTCAACCTCCTCACTCGAGACTTCTTTCTTAGATTCCATGAACCCAAGAATTCCTTACTTAAGCCCTCAGCCCAAGACTTCTTCTCAAGTCCCTCGGACCTAAGACTTTTGCTCCAAGTCACTCTAGTTGAGCCTACTGCTCCAAGTCCCATTAAACGAACCTCCTTGCCTGAATCCCTCAGATTCAAGACTTATTGCTCAAGTTTCATGTATTGAGCTAACTTGCTCAAGCCACATTGGTTGAGACTTCTGCTCCAGGTCCCCTGAAATGAGCCTCCTTGCTTGAACCCCTTAGATTTAAGACTTACTACTCCAGTTTCATGTACCAAGTCAACCTGCTCAATCAATACACTTGATTAAGACTTTCACAACTCAAGCATATAGCAAAAAACTTACGTGGCTCAAGCATCTTGGCTCGAGAATTCCTTGCTTGTATCCCAATGATACAAGACTTCTGTTCAATCAACCTAGTTGGTTAATACTATCACAGCTCAAGCACATAGCAAGAGACTTACGTGGCTCAAACATCTTGGCTCGAGACTTAATCTAAACTACTAAACAAGTTCAGCAAAATAAAGAATAAGGTGTACTTGATACAAGTATCAGAGGTACGGGAAATCACCATAACAAAGACCTAAAGCACTTAAGACTTCTAAGACATTCAATGTAAAATAAATATTAAGGTTTTTACAATTACAACCTACAACAGAAAATCTGCATATACAATGTGTTGATAATTGCTGACCTTGTTACTCCTTCTTCTGGATAACCCTTGTTAAAGATTCAATTTGAACCTTCAGTCATATTTATAACCTTTGCAGAAACTAGTCGTTGAAGAGGTAACTTGATCAAGAGTCTTTACTTTTTATCCATAGTACAAGAGACGTTGAAGATAGATACACCAGAAGATCTTGATCCAATGTGTAACATGTTTAACCTTTGAGTCTTCAAAAGATCTTGTATTATTAGATCTGTTGAGAGTAGATATCCATAAAGAATCCTAGCCTTTCTTGAGCCTTGCAATCTGTAGACTCTAGCCGACAAACTGATTTGACAATATAGTTTACTTTCTGCAGTATGGACAGCTTCAGCTTTATCACCAACTCTAAATGGTACCAGAAGTCAATTTGCATTTATTAAGTGTAGAGACAATTATGTTGCTTCTTCTGATGTTGAGACCTTCAACTTCAAAGTCTACGTAAAACATCATTTAACATGTGTTCTTATGATTCTTCCACCAGAAGCTAGCAATTCAGCAACTCCCAAAGTGTGCTAATGTAAAACAGATTCTAACTAGAATATTTATAAGTATTAGAATCTGCACACATGTAACACACATTAGATAAACCATTGTTCTTTCAATACTTTGTTATCATCAAAACCCAAGGAAAATATGTCATGAACAAATCTTGTTCTAACAATCTCCCCCTTTTTGATGATGACAAACATAAGTATTTAAAGGACAATGTTGGGCAGTTATAATTTTCTCTGCAACATCAGGGTATGAGGTTTGTAAGCTCCCCCTGAGTCTAATAGTCCAAAGCTGAGTTTTGTAGACTCATACCAAGTACTACTTTCAAGAAAAAATAATTCAGTTTTCTTAGTAACATCAGAGTCTGAGGTTTATAAGCTCCCCCTGAGTCAAACAGTCCCAAGGTTGAGGTTTGTAAGCTCCCCCTTAGTTCCATATTTAAGAAAACCAGAAAATAATATTTTAACTTCCTTTAGCAACATCAGAATATGATGTTTGTAAGCTTCTTCTGAGTCTGATAGGCTAAGACCGAGGTTTGTAAGCTCCTGCTTAGTTATATGTACAAGAAAGTTAATATGTGTCGCCCAGGAAAAATAACCATAATAATAGAAATTTAAATAACAAAATTATAAATGACCAATATGTATAACTGAATAGGTACTCAATGTGTTCATTTTCTAATTAAATACTTACCATCATTTCTCCCCCTTTTGTCACATAAAAAAAAGAGAAAGAAAAAGAATTACAGTCATAAATGCATCACATGCCATCATTATAGGATTAGTTTCCAAGAAATTGAAAAAAGATCAAGTAACAAGGGTCATTAAGGATTGTATAGTGCATGCTTTAAATTTTTAGTGGTCGTTACTGTTCCAAGAATCAAGCAAGGATTTAAATCTGTCATTTGGGTTACTTATAAGTCATTATAAAAGCAATCACAACCTAGTTCATTTTCATCAACATCAACCAGAGTCATGGTGTCATCAGTTGAGAGTCATAAGACTTCTGTCGTGACAAAAATCTCTGAGAGCTCTACATGACAAAATGTCTAGAACCTACAGAAATAAGTTGTTTCTGAGTCATCCACAACTGGGCATGTGCCCTCTACAAAGCTCACTTCTGAAGAGGCTATGTCAGTAGTTCCAAAACAACCTACAGGGGTAGGTCTATCAAAAGCTACGATGAAGCCAAGAAGGAAGAATATGAAGAGGTCAAAGAGAACAAGACGGTCCAACAAGATGTTCTATCATACAATTCCAGAGGTAGAAGAGGAAGAAGTTGATGAAGATGAACTGTATATAGATTATGACAACTATTATTATCATAAGGCTCATGATGACCTAGATAGGGATCTATTCTAAGATCATACAGTTCCATATGAACAATATTTTGTAATCCTTCTGCTTCAATCAAAGAAATAATACTTTTGACCAATTTATTTATTACATGCAAATACTCTCAATAACTTCCCTTTTGATTTTCTGATAAACATAAATGAAGTAAAACTGAAACCAGA